TGGCTATTTTAGCCTGGACTTAAAAACTTGGTTTGGGAAGGGCTTTTTGACTTTTTGGCTTTTTTGAATTTTTTTGTGAGAGAAGAATGTAATGATTATGGGTTGGATGTGATGTTTTGTTTGTTATGGCTAAAATAGCCTATTTTGTTTTTTGTGGCTAAAATAGCCAAAAAAACCTGCAAACCCACTTGCCAAACACAAGTTTTGAAAATACTTTCCAAAACTCATAACCAAACAAATTTTCTTACTTCACATGTCAAATCAAATTTTCAAAACTCAATTCCACATTCTATTTAAAAATCATAACCAAACAAATTTTTTACACTTAAATAATAATTTCACAACTCACAAATTCAAAATACAACTCATATTTTCAAATCATATTTACAAAATTTTACCAAACGCAATCATAATTTTTGTGCACATACCTGTCTCGATTTTAATACAAAATACGGGTCGGCAGCCGCCTGCCCCGATTTTAAAGCGTAGTTTATTTTTTGAAAAATGCTTGGGAGCACTAATTAGTGCTCTCACTAATTAGGTAGCAGTGGGTCCCGCCATTAATGATGTGATGTTTTGGTCTTGGAGTTATATTTTTATTTTTATTTTTTTATTTTTTTAATACATTAGTGCTATTAGTGGTGATATTTTTAGTGAGATGAATCATTGTTGTTGTTTCTTTGTCGGGTGACGGATCGTATATTATCCGCGTTTGCCGCAACGTAGCGGTGCATCTTTATTTTTTTTACAAAAGTCAAAACGATTTTTTGTTTTTTTTATTGTGTATGCTTTTTTCGGGAGCAATTAGACAGATTAGAAGAAATAATTTATAAAAAAATAATAATAAATATTAATAATTATAATTATAATTTTTTTCTTCATTTTTTTTTGTAAATATTTTTTTTTTGTTTTCCACTGAAATGTAATTCCTTCCTTTTTTTTAAAAAAAAAATGGTTATTTTGTTCTTTTGTATCAATCATATAATTTTCTTACTTTTATAAATCACTAAAAAAATTCAAAATAATATTTTATAAAATTCAATTAGATTATTTATATGTATGTTCATGTGTACATATATCATAATATTTTACAAATATTATAGGATTATAATTTTACATCTGTACTATAAGAGTTTAACTTAAACGAATATAATTTTATATGAGATACTCAACAATAATTAAATGAAACTATTAACAAGTATTCCTTAGTCATTGTTTATAGATAGAAAGTGTATAAAAATGTCTTGAAAATATGTAAAAATATTAAAAAGTGTATTGATTTTAATGCCAAGTTTGGGGTGTAATAATAATAAGTACACATTTTTTATTTATTTATTTTTTTGGTCACATCACCTCTCTAATTTTCTGTACATCTTTTCGTAAAAAATTAAAAAGTACACTTATTGAGATCATTCCAAAAAGATATTTTGTATTCTTTAATTTATTTTTTATTTTTACTTGTGTCATAAGGACACTTGTTAGCAAGAATCATGATTAAATTAAATGAAAAAGTAATACTTAGAGTATCTTCAATGGTAAATGCTATTACAGCATTTCCAAATGCACGTTATAATAGCAAATTGTTAAATTATAGAAATAGTGCTCCAATGGTACAAAGTCATTTTGGCAAATCCCAACCAAAGTCGAGACTGGACAACTGCCTTGGTCAATCGATTGGCTGGATGACTCAGCGGTTGATCGGTAGATGAAATTTTGTTGAGTTTTGCAAAAATAGAGAGCTTGTTGACTGCAACTAGTTTGTGTTGGAAATGGTAGAAAAATTCTGGATAAAATCAGAATTTTTTCTTAAGTTTGGTCTATTTTTTAGGTGGACCTCGAGCGTCGATTTACTCGGGTCAAAGTGGTAACGCGTTCTATGCCGCGTTGTGATTCACGTGGTATATTTGGTTGCTCAAAACCATTACCGAGTGAATGAAAAATTGAAGCCAAAGTGTGCTTCATGGAAATTGAGTTTTGGTGGAAATTCCTTAAAGGTTTGAATAAGGCTTGTCCCACATTGATTTGATGGGAGGTTTTGAAAGGATTTATAAGGCATGGGTTTGGTACTTGGGTTGTGCCTCAAGGGGTACCCAAGTGTTTTAGAGGGAGAGGTTATAGGCAAAATGGGCTAGACCCATTGGACTCAAAAATCACCACACGCGTGCCGCCGCCATCCGTCTGGCTGGGCTGGGCTTGGGTGTGTGGTTGGGCTGGGCTTGTTCGGCCCAATACTAATCTTTTTGGGCTAAAAACATTTGAATTTAATTTTATTTTTGGTAAAATAAAATCCAGAATTCAAATTAAACTGATTTAGATTTTCTCTACATCCAAACAGGGCCCTTCCCGTTTTCAAATAGAAATAAACTAGTTTGGAATTAGTGCACACCAAACTGGGCCCTTCCCGTTTTTTGCTATATGTTTGAATTATTAACAGATTCAAATCTGTTTGAATTCAAAACTAACAGGTATCATACTTGTTCAATTTAAAACCAAGAGTCACCTTTACATCAATAAATAGGACCACCCTCATTTGATGTTATTCATTCAGAAATTTTGTATTTCACCTCTGCTTATTCTATTCTTCATTTTGTTGCATTTTATTTCTGAAAGAAAGAGTTTAGTGTGTTCGTAAGGCAAACAATTTGTAGTGCTGCTATTGTTTGTGGTAGATCATTTCATCCTGAGAGATAGACGTCCAAATTCTGAAAGCACCGTGGAGAGGACGAATCTGTCTTAAGGACACAGTGTCAAACACTGGACTTGATCAGAAAATAATTCGAAGAAATTAAATCAAGTAAGTTATTTAATTTATTTTCAGTGTTGTTTTTATTTATTAAAATCATATTTAAATTTTATTTTTGTAACAAAATAAAATCTATTATTTATTTATTATTTCGAGTTTGATTTTTGTAATCAAACAAATTCTTTCTTTTTCTTTATTTCTTTAAATTCTAATTGTTGTTGTGTACACAATAAAATTAAATCTTTTAAATACAGTGAATATTGTCCAACAATCTTAAGACAGACTCCTTTTTGGTATCTTCATTGTATTTAATTTTCTGTGTTTTCAAACTAATATTCTGGTTAGAAAAACAAATAGTGATTTATGCTATTTGACAGATAGTAGTAATATACTGTCTCTTTTTTTTGACAACTAGTAGTAATATACTGGTGTCATTAACAATTGCAGAATATTATTTAGTGTTACAGAAAATTATTTTGGTATTTTATTTTTCTAGTTTTAGTAACAAGGAAAATAAAATTATATTATTTTCTAGTTTTAGTAACAAAGAAAATAAAATTATTTTGTGTTTTAATTTATTCTCTGATTTTGGTAACTAGAAAATTATTTTGTGTTTGTTCTGATTTTTGTAATCAGATAGTTTTGTGGTATTTTATTTTCTAGTTTCAGTAACAAGGAAAATAAAATTACAGTATTTTTTAGTTTTAGTAACAAGAAAAATATAAAATGATTTTGTGTTATAATTTATTTTCTGGTTTAAGTAACTAGAAAATTAATCTGTGGTTTGGTTTTCTGATTTTTGTAATCAGATATTATTTCGGTATTTTATTTTACTAGTTTTAGTAACAAGGAAAATAAAATTATTTTGTATTGTAATTTATTTTTTGGTTTTATTAACTAGAAAATTAATTTTGTTAATCAATCATGTAACTTTGTGACTCGGTCACAATCTGTTAATTTTGTAAGTAACTTATGGTTTCGTTTGGTAGACCACTTAATTTTGAACTCTTTGCGAAAAGGTGTTAATTATTTTGACTTTATCATAGTTCATCGTGAGTATACATGGAAGAATTTGTTTCTAGAGTAAAATATTAGTTTGTTACGCATTTGGTTCCTACCCATACAAATGAAAAGATAATTTAAAGAAAATGATATGAGAACTATAACAATATTATAAACAAAAATGTACCAACTTGCAGAGGTATGTTTGCGTGTTTGATTCTTGCTACTTTGTATACATGAATGTATATAAATACATGTATGTGTACATATAAAGAGGCAGAGAGAGATGAGATAAATGTTGACACTCCATAACCTCATTGTTGAGATGGATGGCTTTTTCCTTTTTCTGATTTGATAATTGATCTAACCATTTGACCTCTATAGCCAACTCTATAGATAGATTGATCTTTAACAATTTTTTCCCTAATTTTCTTTACTTTTTTTTCTTTAAATGAAGTTTGATCTAGCAATTTTTCATTTTGTTATAGTCAAGTGATCTATAAATGGGACAAGAGTGAAATTTGTGAGGTGGGTGGGCGAGGTTAGGGAAATAGGGGAATTGGGGGGCAAGGAAATCTCCATAGTCTGCTTGAGATTGGGAAAGGACCCCTTTCCTCTACTCAACCAGTTCCTATCCACAGATATATGTCATTTTGAATAAATTCTTTAAAGATATTTGCTAACATTCATTTTGATTACCCTCTGTTTATTTTAACCTATTTTGTGACCAATAATATAGGAGTTTCCTCCTACTAAGGTTTCATATAATGCTAATGCTCGCAAACTTTGCACAAACAAAATGTTCCATCAATACAAATTATATAATGGTAAATGCTAAACAACTAGAGACATAGGAATTATTGAAAAAAATTGATAATATAAATACTTTATTGAAAAAACATCAAGATGATATAAAGAATACAAAGCAGCCCAAAAGAGGGAAGAAACTAATAACTCTTAACCAATAAAATCATCCAAAAAGTCTAAGAAAACAAACAAGGGGGGGGGGGGGGGGGGTTTGGGGGTTTCATGGGGAGAAAGAAGAGCAAGATCAAGAACAAGTTGATTGAGAAGGATTTTTACTTCAGTGTGCAAACAGAGAGGAATCTGACCATAGGAGGACAATACGAAATGGAACTTCATGGATGATCCACAACCCTTGCAGAGGAGTTTTGGGTGCGAAAGGTATGTAGTGTAGCATTCTAAAATGTAAATACCTGTGTTTTTCTCCCATGTTTCTCTCTCTTTTTTTGGATTACTTCACCTGAAATGTTTGTTTGTTTAACCTTAATTTTTTAGATTCTTAGTATCAAAACTCAAATTTTGGCCCACAAATCAAGACTTGGTCTTATCAACAGCAGCAGTTCCAATTTGTGCTCTTCAACTGCGAAAACTCGTAAAGAGGACAGAAAGGTTTGATATTTTTTATAAAATTCCTTTTAAGTTTTCATATGGTTTATGGAAGTAGCAATGCTGACTTACTGAATACTTTATTGGATGTAAAGGTTTATGTTCGGGAACCAGCAGTCCCATTTGTTTCAATGGCAGAAATGATGAAGAAGTTTCAATCTAACACAAGAGAGATGTCTATACCTCACATGAACGGTTCTCTTTCGCATGTAAATGACTAAACCTACTTTCTTTTCTTACCATAAAAAAATTGTTTCGCTCCTGATTATTATAATTTGTATTGCTTATTTTCCTTATCTTCCATTTCAACTTTCAGGATGCTGCAGCTTCAATAGTGCAGAGGAAGCCCAGACTTACATTGACAAGGCCCAAGGAACCTGAATTTGAAACGGCTCAGCGGGTTCGCTCAGTCAGGGCCAAGAGCTCTGCTGAACTTGAGGAAGAAATGATGGCTAAAATTCCGAAGTTTAAGGCTAGGCCAGTAAACAAGAAGGTAGTCATTTTTTAACTTTGCTATTTAGGAATCTCCGTTATCGCTTTGTTAACATCTGGTCTATATGTTGGATTGAATTGGCTCTTTTGTTCATTACAGATTCTGGACGCTCCAAGCTTGCCAGCACTACCAAGAAGTACACCCCATCTACCCGAATTTCAGGTAAAGTATACAATGGATTGATGTTGATGAGAACAAGAAATGCAATAAAACTACAAAGGCTAAAGTTATAATCTTCTACAGGAATTCCATTTGGAAACGATGGAAAGGGCCAATCAAAATGCAGAAACATCAACTATAGCCTCAACAGAATCTGCTTGGCAGGTATATAAAGCCTCATCCCGGGTATTTTAGATCTTTTCCTTGTTAATATAAAATTGGATTCTGTTTAGTTAGTGACCAAAAATTTGCAAATTTGTATATGACAGAATCATCAGTGGAAACCAGCTCATCTTACAGCACCCAAGTCGCCCCTTCTTCAAACATCTCTGAGGGCACGGCCTCCAAGGATTAAAACTTCTGAAGAACTGGAAAGGGAAGAACTTGAAAAAGTTCCAAAGTTCAAAGCAAGGCCTTTGAATAAGAAGGTATATACGTCCGCTTTTTAATGAGAAAATTATATCAATTTGTTTTGTACTACTTTCATTTCTTCATTTGAATTGATTTAAGTTTTTCGAATCTTGTAGATATTTGAAAGTAAAGGAGAGTTGGGGATGTTTTGTAACACAAAGCAGCATGTCACTATTCCTCAGGAGTTTCACTTTGCTATTGATGAAAGGATTCCACCACCAGTAACAGTTGCTGATCTTTTTGACAAGGTTATTAAATAAGCGTATTGTTGATTCCAATTCCAGTTAGAGGTATAAAACGTCCCCATTGACAGTTTCTCATAATGTTTATTATTTATATTTTTTTCCAGCTTTCATTGAATTCAGAAGCTCACCACTACAAACAAATTCTGAGGAACACTACACCAAATCCATTCCATCTCCACACAGAGGTATGAAAATCCACGACGCTGGTTGATAAATCTGCCAATTGGTTATGTTTTATACTAAATCTGCTTTGTGGTTGATTTGTGACATTAGGAAAGAGGAGCAGAGAAAGAGAGGAAATTTGTGATGGAAGTCATGCAGAAACAGTTGGAAGATGAGAGAGCCAGGATTCCGAAGGCTACCCCATATCCTTATACTACTGATTATCCTGTGGTACAGAATTTTAGGGGAACCCACTCTCTATTTCTAAGTGCTTGAATTTTTACAATGGTACACTAATTTTGACTACTACTTGTGCAGATTCCACCAAAACCAGAGCCAAAGCATTGCACAAAACCAGAACCATTCCAATTGGAGAGTCTGACAAGGCATGAAGAAGAAATGCTAAGGGAAATGGAAGAGAGGAGGAGAATGGAAGAGGAAGAAGCTCAGATGAGGATATTTAAGGCACAACCAGTATTGAAAGAGTAAAATTCTCTTGAAACACTTATGAAAACCAGGCGCGTTCAAGGCCAAAATGAACACAACAGTGAGAACCACGATGTGTTAGAAGATATTTTGTGTGAAATCTATTGTCTTGGCTTACACAAACGGCTGAACAATTCAAGGCATCGCGTCCATTGGTTAGCCAGTAAGTCCGATAGGTTATCGCTAGGGAAGGTTCAATGCCGAAAACTACCTATCCTGATGCAAGATATTTTCGACTTATATCTTTCGTTAAAGTCTGCATATTGTTGCATTTCCGTTGTCATCAAATTCCATTCATGTGGGGGATTGTTGGAAATGGTAGAAAAATTCTTGGTAAAATCAAAATTTTTTCTCAAGTTTGGTCTATTTTTTAGGTGGGCCCCGAGCGTCGATTTACTCGGGTCAAAGTGGTAACGCGTTCTATGCCGCGTTGTGATTCACGCGGTGTATTTGGTTGCTCAAAACCATTACCGAGTGAATGGGAAATTGAAGCCAAAGTGTGCTCCATGGAAATGGAGTTTTGGTGGAAATTCCTTAAAGGTTTGAATAAGGCTTGTCCCACATTGATTTGATGGGAGGTTTTGAAAGGGTTTATAAGGCATGGGTTTGGTACTTGGGATGTGCCCCAAGGGGTACCCAAGTGTTTTAGAGGGAGAGCTTATAGGCAAAATGGGCTAGACCCATTGGACTAAAAAATCACCACACGCGCGCGCCGCCGTTGTCCGTCTGGTCGGTCGGGCTGGGCTGGGCTGGGCCTGGGCGCGGGTGCGTGGTGTGTGGTTGGGTCGCGCTTGTTCGGCCCAATACTAATCTTTTTGGGCTAAAAACATTTGAAAATTAAACTGATTTGGATTTTCTGTACATCCAAACAGGGCCCTTCCCATTTTCAAACATAAATAAACTAGTTTGGAATTAGTGCACACCAAACAGGGCTCTTCCCATTTTTTGTTATTTGTTTGAATTATTAACATATTCAAATCTGTTTGAATTCAAAACCAACAGGTATCATACCTGTTCAATTTAAAACCAAGAGCCACCTTTACATCTATAAATAGGACCACCCTCATTTGATGTTTTTCTCTGCTATAAATCTCTGCATTTTGCTGCATTTAATTTCTGAAAGAAAGAGTGTAAACACTTAGTGTATTCGTAAGGCAAACAATTTGTAGTGCTGCTATTGTTTGTGGTAGATCATTTCATCCTGGGAGATAGATGTCCAAATTCTGAAAGCACCGTGGAGAGGACGAATCTGTCTTAAGGACACAGTGTCAAACACTGGACTTGATCAGAAAATAATTCGAAGAAATTAAATCAAGTAAGTTATTTAATTTATTTTCAGTGTTGTTTTTATTTGTTTATTTAATCAGATTTTATTTTTTGTTTTTGTAACAAAATAAAATCTGTTTTATTTATTTATTTATTATTTCGAGTTTGATTTTTGTAATCAAACAAATTCTTTCTTTTTCTTTATTTCTTTAAATTCTAATTGTTGTTGTGTACACAATAGAATTAAATCTTTTAAATACAGTGAAGATTGTCCAACAGTTTGCTGGGAAGGATGAGAAAGGGAGGGAGGAAAAGAAGGAAACGGTTGGTTTTGGGTGAATTGACACATTTGGCATTTGCCAAATTTAATACTCCAATGGTAAATCATTAGAGAACCACTTTTACACAAAACTGCTATATTATAGCTATGACAACCCCAATGACAAATCATTGGAGATGCTCTTAACATTTAAACTGCGCATCTAGATATTCAATTTAGTTTTTTTTTTTGTTTTTTTTTGCAATTGAAGATATGTAAAAAAAATAAAATAAAAAATGAAGACTAGTATTCAAATATTATAAGAAACATTTACATATAAAAATATAAAACAATAATAAACAAATATGTCACAGTTTAGTTCGGCTCGGAACCAGAAACTAGATCGACAGAGAATTAGACTGATTTGAATGATTCTACTATTTTCAGAATTAGAAGGAGAACCAAAACTAATATAATTTTTTTTTTTTTTTTTGTGACCAAACCAACAATTTAGACCAAATTAAATCACTTTACCAGTTCTACTAATTATTTTAACACCCATAGTCAGCATATGATTTTGGAGAATTTTATTATATATACCCACACACCATGTCATTTTTTTTTCTTTATACATAGTGTTTTCCTGTGACTTTTACGTCCAATATCAAATTGGGCTCAAGCAATAGGTTTTTTATTCGAACTCGGCCCCAATCCCTACAACATCTTGGGCCATCCCCATCGAAGCCAGTGACTCTTCAATGTTGAGTTGAGAATGTATAGTTTTCGATGGATAACAGAGTTGCGACAAATTTGAGGACTCACCATCATCAGTGAAAAGAGACGTGTCCCTCGACACGTGGCATTGGGAATGGGCCACTTCTGTAGGGGACGAAGCTTGGTGGATTCGCGTGAGAGGTACTCATGAAATGTACTGCTAATTTTTGTTTTTTTGTTGCTTTTTTGTGGGTTTTGGATTGATACATGAATTGGGGCTTGGTGTTGAATGAATCAGAAGGTAACTTCAGTGATTTTGTAGAGAGAGAGAGAGAGAGAGAGAGAGAGAGAGAGAGAGAGAGATGGGGATGATATTTGTGGTGGAGCTGGAGGGTAGGACTTACAGATGCAAGTTCTGCAAAACCCACTTGGCCCTTGCAGATGACCTTGTCTCCAAGGTAACTTCTTATATGTATTTATATCTATATGTTTTATGTGTTGCCAATATATGTATATGTTTGTGCTATAATTTTATTCTTGTTGGTTGGTTATTATAATTGTAGTTATGAGCAAACTAAACTAAGTATCCAATTAGAAAAAAAGTTACACAAATTAACAAGATTTTTCCTATGCAACAATGAAGCTTTGGAATTTGGAACATGAGTCAAGTCAGTAAATAAGAAAAAATTGTAAGATTTGTTAGTTTGTATAGCATCACTCTATGCAAGTTTTGGAACTTTTGGTTCTTGAAATGTTATTTGAGGGCATTGACAATAATAGCTGTAAGAATTTGGTTCTTGGATGAGATTGAAAAAAAAAGAAAGAAGAAGAAATGTCTTGTATCTAGAAAAAAAAGCCCAGATTTTGAATATATGACGTGGATTTAAAAAAGAAAAAAGGGTTGTTGGAAGCTCTGCTTGGCGTGGGCTAATTATGAAGGAACATTGGAGAGAACCTTCTAGCTTGAGGTATAACTGGTATAATGTGGAACAAACTCACTCTTCAAATGCAAATACACCTTTAAAGGCTCAATTGGATGCTTAAGTGCCCCAATAATGTATAGCAAAACAATGAAGGATAATGAATCATCAATTGCAATGAGAACTAAATATAGCATAAGTTACAATTACATAAATTCCTAAAGTGGGAGAGACCCCCCCCCAAAAAAAGGGAATAAGACTCATTTGAGAGGAAATAAAGTTTCAACTCTGTCGTATCCCCCAGTGATGTTAGTCTCCATTGTTATGTATTATAGGGTATTCGATTGTGGTGCTACAAAAGGAAAAGATTGGTTTTTGGTGTGTCCAATCATATCCGTCACATCATTGGGTTGTACAATAACTTCCCAAGAATATTGATGATTTTTTTTTGGTTGGTAGCTTGAGATGTTAAATCATCTATCTTGTACCAGAGTGCTTAAAGTGTTCTTGGATTGTTTATTTATTATTTGACTAATAGTACTCTTTTACTCTCTGGGGAGGTGTCAATTTCGTCAATCATATCGTAACTCTTTCACTCTCAGGAAGAAAAGCAAGGATTTAACCAATTTAATTTTGTTATTAGATCATAGGTTTCTAATTTCTTGCTACATTTTGAGATGCATAGATCCATCTGTTCAAATTTTATGTGGATTTTCAACTTTGTTACTCACTAGTTGTTTTGTGATTTGATCAGGCTTTTCATTGCCGCAGGGGAAAAGCATATCTTTTCAATAATGCGTGAGTTCTTTGTAGTTTTGTCATAAACCTTTTGATTGCTGCCGGTCGTTTGTTATTGCTGTTTGATTTTTTCTGTTCCTGTTTTTATTTTTACTTCTTACTTCCTTTTTTGGGTAAGAGGAAAATTCATGAGATAGGAACCAACAACTGGGAAATGTTATGTATATGCTTTGTTTGACTCATGTTTTATTGTTGATATGCTCCAACAGACAGGTGTTTTATTTAAGATGTGCCAAAGCTGAATTTAAAATAGATAGTTGATAGTTTATTGTAATGAATGAGAATCTTATTTCTGATAAATAATTTATAATGGCTATTGGGGAGGATATGAATTTTATATTGCTAATGAGAAGTAAAAAGCTTTTTGAGAAAAGACTGACATCATAATACGTTTTAAATTTCCAAGCCACAAACCATGGCTGTAGCATAGTTATCAGAATTCCAATTTGGATCGTAGTAGGATCTTAAAGTGACTATAATCCTAGGCATAAAATCATGTAGAATCGCACTACGATCCCGATTCTATTACAATCCTAATCCTACAAACAAAAAAAATTCTTATTATTTATTTCTTATATATTTATGTATATGTGTATATTTATGTAAGAAATTTGACTATAAACTTTTTCGCCAAACATCTCCTCTAATTTGTGTTGACATAAAAGATGCATTATATCAAATTTATCATTTTTTAATGATTTTAAAATTATTTAAGATACATTATCTATATGGATAATTTTTCGTTCTATTTTACATTGAAAATAGAATCTTACAATCCTTGATCCGATTCTATGATCTAATCCACAAGTCCCTTCCAACAATCTTACTTAGGACTCCGATTTTAACAACCTTGGGCTGTAGGACTGACGAAGTTTCTGAGGCTTGGCATGGTTAGAGGCTCACTCTTGATTCCTAATCAGGCAGATGAACTTAGCTCAACTATTTGTAGAAACGATTGAGCTTGAGTCCAACTCATCTCAGTAAGTTAACGGGTAACTTAAAACTACATAAGCAATGAAGCCATCTCATGCTTGAATTGAGATTGGCCTGAGTAGAAACTTGTTTAAGACTGCTCATAAGCTCAACATTCATTTGAACATTGTTAGTTTTCAATCGAAAGCTTGAACAGCCAAGGCATGGCTTGACTTGTTTTCTTTATAGCTTTGATAATTTGTTGGTTTCGAAATGCTTGTCGTACAACTTTGAATGCTAGTGAGCATATAATACCAGAGAAATTTCACCTGCAGAGAACAATGGTTTGCGAATCTATTAACTCTTCTAAAACAGTTAATTAAACAGTAGTTTATACAATAATCTGAAGAGAAAGTTATTGACAGATATGGATAATTTAGTGTCTCCTCCTTATCTTTCATCATAGACACAATGACCAGTACTTATTCTTCCTTTAGGAGAACATATGTTGGAGCAATACATTATTATTTCCTGACAAATACTTGAATTTTTACATGCGAGAATTTATGATTCAGGGTGAATATCACTGTTGGATCTCACATGGAGAGGTTGATGCTCTCTGGAATGCATACTGTAGCGGATATATTCTGCTGCTGTTGTGGACAGATTGTTGGCTGGAAATATGTAATCTCTCTCTCTCTCTCTCTTTCTCTGTCTCTCTCACACACACACAATAGCGCACACAAGCATACCATACACACACATAACGAATGCATGCTCAAATGGCCATATAGCTGTAATCTATGTTATGAGGGTCCGGGTGTGGGTGCGTATCTAGAGATTGGACCATCAAACCTCAAATGGTTACGTGGCCTTGGCAAAAAAGGGTCATATTTTTATAGTTGCAATCTATTATTTGAGATAAAATGGTGTTGTATGTAACAGACAATGTCTGGAAGACATTTTACTCACTTTATAACAAGTATATAACAATATACATTTAATGATAGTGTTAAATATAAATATATAAGAAGTGTCCAATGTGAAGTATCGGACACATTCCACACATATTTTATTTATTTTGAAGAGTTAATGTAACATAGGCGGTGTCCCACATAAAATTCAGTAGTAAATATGTTGGCTTTCTCACCTTAGCATCCCTCTTAGAAAATTTCAAGAAATTTCTTTCTCCCCCAACCAGGAGTCTGCACACGAAAAGAGCCAGAAGTACAAAGAAGGAAAGTTTGTTCTCGAAAGGTACAACCCTTTGATAATTTCAGTCATTCTTTCTGCTCAATATCCGACTGCAAATTTTGTTTCCTTAATAAATTTCTTGGACATGTCTACGAAAACAGAGGGAGGATCATCGATGCAGTCGATTCGGAATTCTACATAGATACCCGCCCTAGTCTGAGTGATGCTGAAGATCCGTAAATTCTTTTTCCATTTTGCCCTAATAGATGTAATAAATATTCTGAGATTGTGAAAATGTGCATTAATGTTGTGGATTTTGAACAATGAAATTGCAGAAGAGTGGTTGTTGTCTTCATGAGCACTAATAATCTGCATGGAAATCTGCTCTATTTTTCTAACAATGATGTTCTTGTTCATTATCTGGATTTCTGGTATTTATTTCTTGGGGGTTTACTACAAATGCTACGTTTGAAAGCAAACCATGGCTGTTTCAACATTTATGTTGTGGGAACTTGAACAGCCATACAATAGAAAGTTGAACTTTGGAAAAAATTCAAAATTGGTTGTGCTTGTCAAATAAAGTTTGATAGTTGAACTATTTGTTTTTCTAAAATTTGATGCAACATATGTTAAATTTAACTGATGTGGAATGATGAAGCGTAACCAGTGAACTTTTTGGTTTTTCGGGTGTTTGGGCTAGTTTGCATGCACTTCAACTAATCTTAGGGTCTTTGTGAAGCCCCTGAAAAAAAATGTATTCTCTTTTAAAGTCCTTATGTTTGAATTATTTCCTTGAAAGCCGCTCAGTTTCTAGAATTATTTCGAATCTTGCCAGTTAGCATTTTTTTTTATTTTTTTTTATTTTCATCGAAACAGGAATATCCTAACCGAATTAGGTTCCTTAGCTTAATTTAATTTAATTCTACATAAATAAGGTTTCAAAACATAAGTCTTATTCCAAACTCTCACTTCTTTTATTAATTTCAAGAACTACCTCAAAAATAATACATGTACTTTTTATACTATAGGTACCATCAAATCAATTTGAGATTTATATATATATATATATATTTGTACCTCTTATTCATCAAATCTTTTTGTACACAATATCTATGGAATTTGTACACATAATAAATAGGAAAATCTCTACAAATCTTGAGCACATGGCTAGCCATCATACCTCCTAGGCCATAATCATTGTACTTTAGTATAAACAAATCCCTTGAAATCTTAAAGCAATGATGACCTTGATACCAATTCTTTATATATACATTGGGAATATGTTCATAGTACGCATATATTAAATAAAATATTCTTCTTTTCCCTTCCCCATGGCCAGCCAACCTAGAAGAATGTGAGGGACGTGTTTTCAAGACTTGTAATTATGATATTCTAGAAGCTCTAGTACCTAGAACCCTTAAATCTAGGGTTTTGTTCCAACACTAGTTTCATTCTAACTAGAGGCCAACTAAATATTGTCTAATCACATGATTAAGTTCCCTAATCACTCCCTATTCTATTAGACTCCTAGTAAATCCAAACTTTTCAATCCAATTCCAACGAGTTGGCCTTTATGTCTTTTTACACCGAAATTGCCTATAAATACAACCACTCCCTAGCATGGCATACACAAACAACACACACTCATATACATTCGGCTTAGAGAAGATAAAGGAGAACAAGAGAAAAGTCTTGAGAGGGAGAGGAAGGAAGAGGAGAGCAATCTTGTTTAAGCCTAGCAAGTAATCCACAACACAACTCTCTCTTTTATTTTTCTCTTTCAAATACATGTTCTTAAGGGTTCTACCCATTGTTTTCAGATGTGTTATTAATGATTTCCTTGTGTTAAAAATCATAAGAGTTGAGCCATGATTCTACTTCTCTTGTAGTTCCCCTCATTTCGGTACAAAACTATCTTTTTCATATCAATCTCTCAAATTTTCTAAGGGCACACCTTCAAGATAACTTTCTGAGTTTAATATATATTATTTAGCATGTTTTCATCTCAAAAGAAATGAAAAATTTCCCTTAGCAGATCCCTTTCTCACAAATCTTCTTGTTTTGCGTATTGTGCCTTAAGAATATGTTTTCACAGCCAACTTTAAAAATTTCTAGAAAAATGTAGGAAATTATTCTGGACCTCCATTTTATGTCAAAATCTTCCTTAAGGAGTTATCTTTCAACTAAAATTGGTTTCATTGAAAACGAGTGCGCAATTTGTGAGAAACTCCAATTTCCGAAACGGTCGACGAATCTGGACAGCGCTGAAACATTTCTTAAATATCTAAAAATCTAGAAAAGCTATCACATTTCCGAAATATGTTCTAGAAACTAGATTAAATTCTCTACGAACCATAGGGAGGCCGAGTTCGGTAAAAATATAAAAAATCCCTTTTAACTCTAATCTTTAAATGGTATTGAATCTGGAAATTTAATTTTGCATGGGTGTTTTATGCTCTTGTATACATGAATATGCTTATTAGTTTATGATCATGCCTTGGTATGATGTTTCATGTGTTATGGTTATGTTCCTCATCTTCTTCATTTTAATGATGCTCATGCTTATGTGGATATTACTATCTTGTTGAGTTTGTTCTAACTTGACTTAAAACATTAATCCAAACGGAAAACTTAATTGGAATAATATTGGGTTTTCGATCACTTGAATAATGAATAGATGATAATGTGTTATGTATGGATTGTTGGGATGCGTTCCCTATTTGGAAGTTAAGTCTTGCGCAAGCGGTTGTCGCATAAACCCTGGAATGGAACAGACGTATTCGAACTCTTTGCGATGGTTTGATTGGTGAGATAAGGTCGGGTTCGGATGGGATATTCAGGAAGATAAAACTTTTTTGAAAGGATAAGGTTGGATTCAGGAGATAAAACCTTTTTTTTTTCACTGTCCCTTTTGAGGCCCTATGGTTAGCGCTATGCGGTATATAACCGTCGGTAGGCATCCGAGGTTAGTTCTGCAACAAAGTAGCAAAATGGGGAGTTCCGAATAGTCTGGTGTCCAATTTTTGTGGTTCGGAGGATGAAATCTCTTTAGGGAATTTCTAGAATACTAACCACTAACATTATAACATTGTTATCTATTTGAATGACATGCTCTTTTTCTCTATTATTGAAATTGCTGTTATTGACTTGAATATCATGCTTCACTATTTGTTTGCCATAAATGTGATGGTGTATTGGATTGGGAAAAATGGACGGGGTGTGTGTGCGTTTACTGGGCATTCAAAGCTCACAGTATTTCATGCCAGGTATTGAAGACTATTAGGCTGGTTGAAGGCAAAGCTGAAGTATTTGAGGATGTATGGCTATCCTATGAGAGTTAGGAACTAGTTATGTTAAATGTGTTTTGAGATTATAAGTGATAGATCTCATGTTGTATTTAAGACATTATTTTTGTAATTTGTATATATATAACATCTGTAACCTAACCTTATACTCCGTTAACTCATGTAGGCCTTGTGTTAATACCCTGCCAAGATCTGTCAGAAAGGTAGCTTTGCTATCTAAAGTGGTTGGACTTAGAAGGGAGGCTATTTTGACTCTTCTGACCTTCTTGGGATCTTGCTTGGTTATTAGCCAAAGGACTTATTAGTGATATTTCCTACTCTTGTAACCTTAGATAAATCATGTATTTAATGGTTAATATATTATTTGATGTTCCCGATTTTTGGGCGTCACAGTCTTGAAATTAACAATTGAACAAATTTTCAGCGGTATCTAAACTCGAAATTTTGGATTTTATTCTCAAGACTAGTGAACATGAGCACCAAAAAAAATTACTTAAAATATTAAAAAATTCACTAAATTTAAAAAAAAAATGAAAAAAAATCTCAATTTTCATAAAATTGAATTTAAAAAATTAGAACTAAATAAGGTGGGATTCTAAAAATTCATTAGCTTTTATCAAAGAAAATTGAGAAATTGAGTTTAGACAGCCAACAATAGGGGTGGGCAACGGTTTATCCGAACCGCTCAAACCGCCCAACCCGCCCAATCCGTATATTAATGGGCGGTTTCGCAAACATAATGTGGGCGGATGCGGTTTGAAATATGACAAATTTACGGGTTGCGGGCGGGTCGTGGTTTAAACCTGCAACCCGCAAAAACCGCCCGCACTTTAATTATTATTGTTATTATTATTATTTTTTTATATACCAACTTTGTAACTTTAACAGGAGCCCCATTATGTTCTCTATGACACTAGGATCCTTATTTTTAAGTATTTTTCAACTTTCTTAATGCCGTAGAATTATCAAGTCCTAAACTTGATTTCTTATATATTTTCATTGGTGACTCATCCACTTTTTTATAATAAAATTTTCTTTCTGGTGGTCGATGGAGCTTTTAGTTTGATTATTGATTACTGAACTGGCAATTCTAATTGCGTACAACCTTTAATGCATTGATATATATTTTTTAATGCATCGATATACATTTTTTTCATGACAAAAATGCTAGTGTAGGGTCTCTTTGTTTTAGATACTTTCATTTAATGTATTAATATTCAATTTTTATTTGTAAACTAATCGGAAAATTGTTGTCAAATAATCACAAATATATAAAATGAATCTGATGCCTAAATTCGATGGGAAAAAAAAACTCAAAAATTAATTTTTAAAGAAAAAAGTGTAAACCGCAAACAGCCCGCAACCGCCCGCACATCCGCAAACCCTATCTGCATAAACCGCAAACCGCACTGCGGGCGGTTGCGGGTTGACTTTTTCCCAAACCGCATAGATGCGGGCGGGTCAAAACCGAACCGCAAACCGCACAAAACCGATCCGCGAACACCCCTAGCCAACAATACAAAATCAAGTGGTATGAATCCAGAAAATTTATGCCAAATTTTACAAAATGATTATACGGTGTAGAATTGAAATTAGTAGGATGTTACAATGAACGTAAGACTCTAGATTCATTTTTCTAAAAAAAATTTCCGAATAATTTTTACTATGAATTTATAGCATTGTTATTGATTAAATTATCACTTCATTAATAGTTTCACTTAATGAAAATAGACAATTTTCTTAAAATGATATCATTAAAGTTTGAGATTTAAACTCATTTTTTTTTATACTCATGAATTTATGCTTTCAATTGTTACTTTATAATTGAGGAGAAATAAAAGTTGGATCCAATAGGACTTCATCAAAGCATTTTTATCTACTCGAACCCCTAAAAATTTGAGACATTTATCGATTGGTCTTATTAATTAAATTTATTTATTTATAAGTTTTGATTAATAAATTTATTCATAAAAATAAGAGACAAATTACATATACCTCTCTTGAGGTTTGGCTAAATTACAGATATCCCTTGAGGTTTCGGAAATTACATCCCGCCCCCTAAGGTTTGTATTTTCATGACAATTTGCCCTCTGAGGTTTAAATTTCATAACAAATTACTCCCTAATTTGTTATGTAAATATAACATTTAGAGAGAAATTTGTAATTTCTCAAACCTCAGGGAGCTATTTTTAATTTAGCCAAATCTGAAGGGGTATATGTAATTTTCCAAAAATAAGAGAGATTGAAATTTATCAATAAAAGTTAATGGATAATAAGTCCAAAAATAAAATCTATTGATAATTTACCTTAAAAATTCTCAAAAATAAAATAATACATATTTAATGATATTCTTTTATTATTGATGTTTCCTTTCCTAACTTTTCATTTTAGTTTTTCAAAGGAGAATCAAATAATATAGGTGGTGTTGGCAAGTGGTTTTGGGGTTAAAATAGTCACAAAAAATAAAATAGGCTATTTTAGTCACAACAAACAAAACATCATATCCAACACATAATCATTACACTATTCTCTCACAAAAAAAGTCAAAAAAGCTAAAAAGTCAAAAAGCTCTTTTCAAACTAAGCTTTTTAACCTAGGTTAAAATAGCCCAAAAAATCAAAAAACCAAAAAGCCAATCCACTTCCCAAACGGAGGCTAAATATTTTTTTTTTTTATAACTTTATTATATATTTTTACACACTTTTATGAGGATTGCTTTAATATTTTTATTTTTTCAAATTGTGTCTTCTAATAAGTTATAATTTTTTTTCCACATTAATTATTTTATTTCGATACGTATAAAGGGTGAGAGGGAGACCAGAAACTCCATCTGATTTAGGTTTTTAAAAAAGTTTTGAATTGCATTTTGAAAGATAAGTGTTTGAAAAAAATATAAAATTTAAAAATTTATTTGGCTATAAATTTTGAAAATAATTTTGAAATGATTTGTAAGTGTTTTTTTTTTTTTTTTTTTTTGGTAGTTGAATAGGTGGGTGTGATAGAAAAATTGATTGATTGATTAATGTATGAAATGTGAGGGAATGAGAAGAAGTTATTAGTTGGTCAAAGGACAACGCCACGTGGTACTCTATATGCGTTGTGATTGATAAAAAAAAAGTGCGATCTACGATTTTGTATTGGTGATTGGAGAATATGAGGAGCCATGAGAACATGGTATCTTAAAATCAACTAATAATTTTTCAAGAAGAGATGTAGAAAAAGAAAGAGGAGAAAAAATAATTTAAAAAATGATAAACCAAACAAATTTTTTTGATTTTTCAATCCAAAAATTAATTTAAAAATTAAAACAAATACTATTCTATATACCCTTTCTTCTCTTTTCGATAGGTAGTTGTTGAGAGAAAAAATTAGTGTGTTTAGTTTTAATTTTTTTAATTGAATTTTTTATTCTTTGGGCTTTTTATTTTTAAATTTTTAGTGAATATTTTTAAAATTTTAAGTAATATTTTAACTTTTTTAGATGCATCTTATTTAGATATATTTAAATAATAAAATATTTGTGACAAAAGGTTTTAAAAAATTAATAGATATACAAAAATATGAAAAATATACTAAATTTTCATATTTTTTAAAAAATATTTTTGATATTGAGTGAATTTTTTAAATATTTTTTTTCACAAATATTATATTAAAATATATTTATATTAGTTGTATTTAAAAATTAAAAAAATTATTTAAAATATTAAACAAAATTAATAAAAACAAAAAAAATACAAAAGGAAGGGTGAATTCTGAAATCTGAAGTGAATGGTGTGATTTGGAAAGCTGCGATTCGAAGTGTCTCTCTTCAATTCATCACAAAAACTTAAAGCTGCGCTGCCTCTTCCTCTCCGATTCTGCAAATTTCAATCAATTCTCTCACTTCCGTTTCCACTTTGTTTTTTCTCTTAACTTTCTTCCGTAGGGTTCGCAATTGTTGTTTGCAGGTTGAAGAAGAAGAAGACGACGACGAAGAAGCAGATCAAATCCCACCCGTCCAATGGGAAGCAGTCGATCTTCCTCGAAGCGAAAATCTTCTAAAAGGAAAAGCTCCAAACTTTCGTCTGAGGTCTCTCTCTCTCTCTCTACACACACACACACAAAATTGATTGGGTATTGAGTTCTGTTTTAGGGTTTTGTTTTTTTTCTATACAAGTGCTAGGTTTAGGGTTTGATTTCTTGTTTCTGTACTCAATTAGATTTGGCAATTAGGTTTCTTGGCCATTACCTCCTTTTTCCATGCTGAGAGCGTAGAAAAATTTTGGAAATTGTATGCCTTTTCATTGAATTCATGTCTCCTTATTACTAGATAAATGATAATAATCAACAAAATAAAACTTGTAATATTTTTAAATGTTGTGAATGTATCAAAGGGTATCTCAAATTAAGGAGAGTTTATGGTTTCATACACTTCCCTAGTGATCAAATGTGGGGCATTATGATTGTTGAGATAATTATTGTTAACTTGGGTTCTCCTTTTCTCCATTGTTGATTCATATGTACATGTATTGTGTGGTGTGTTTAGGCTCGGCGGAAGAAGAGAAGTAGAAGAACTAAATCCAGGAAGCTGCGTCATCGGGATGATTCGTCTTCTTACTCCAATGATGATTCAAGAAGTTCAGTTCCCATTTCATCTTCTAGTTCTGAGGATGAGTACAGCAGGGCTCGTTCTCGCACAAGAAGTGAAGTGAAGGGTAGTAGGAAAAGGACTCGACGAAGCTCTTCAAGCCGTGGGAGCAGTGAGGATTCTCGTCATGTAAAGAAGAAGAAAGATTCAAAGAGAAGTTCCAAATCTGAAACAAAGAAGAAAACCCGTAGGAAGAAGCGAAGGAGAGAGCCTAGTGTTAGTTCTATAAGCAGTGATTCACGGAGCTGCTCACCTTGTCGAGGTGCAGGTAGCAGCAGTGGAGAGAGTGATTTTGAAAGGCTTAAGCGTGGGTCTAGAGAAAAAAGTAAAGACAAGAGAGCTTTGGGTAAGGCTAAGAGTGGAACTAAAAGCAATAAAAATAGGTCCAGGACTCCGTCCTGCGGTAGGTATAGTGACAGTGGTGGTTATGGCAGCAAAGATGTAATGCCCGTTGAGAATAGTTCAAGGCGTTTGAGATCAGTTATTACTGTTGCAAAATCACAAGAGGAAGAGGTTGAGGAAAAAGAATGGGATAATGATGGTCATAAAGAAGAGATTGTATATGATCGCGATGATTGCCCATCTTGTAGAAGCAATGATAGTAATGACGGAGGTAGCAAGAGGGAATTGGCTCATCATTCACATGTTGATCTTGAGAGGTGGGTAGAGGATGCAAAAGGAGAAGAAGCTTTGGTTTCTGACGTTAAAATGACCGATCTCACAAAAAGTGGTGAAGAGGGTGGGCGCCAAGATTGTCAAAGTAATTCTCGCTCTGATGGAGCTGGAGCAGATAATTCTCTGAAGGAAAAAAATAGAGAGGTTTTTCCTACTTCATCTAGTTCAAAAAGTGACGATTTGGAGTCAATTTTGAGGCTAAAGGCTTTAGAAAATCTAAAGAAGTTCCGAGGTGGGCTTCAAACAAATACAAAGCCTCCTGCTGATGAGAAAAGTGAAGGTTGCAGTGATGTGAAACAGTTATGCACTGCAAATGTTGAGTTTGTTCAAAACAGGTCCCCCAAGGAAGATGTTTCTAGAGCTGTAGATGCAACCAGAGTACTTGATCAGAATCCTACGCCTACAAGTTATGGGAAGCTTCTAGAGGGAAAAGGTGGTGGCAGTGTGACAGAATCTGCAAGTGCTAGACTGAGTGTTGTTTGCCCACCAAATCAGGTGGCTCTATCTTCCAAAGAAGTGGACCTTTCTCCTGCAGGTGCTGTTACTAGCAAATCTGAAATGAGTAAATCAGCACTGAGGAAAGAATCTTCAGGCACTATCGTGAAGCAAACAGACAAGACAAATATGTTTGTAACTGAGGGTAATGTGAATAAGAGTTCAGCCGAAACATCTAAAAGTGCGGGCCAGACAAGTAATAATAATGATGTAGGAGTTAATAATGTCACTGAATCCTCTACTTCCGAGCCTTCCTCCCTTAAACCCACTTTGGAAGAACATAGCTCAAAAGAACAGCTAGGTCAGGATAAGGATGGCTCACAGTTTGAGAAGAAGACGATGTCTGTGATGCGGGGCGGTGAAATGGTACAGGTGAGATTTTTTTTCCCTTTCTGACGTAGTTTATGCATGTTAATCTAAGAGCCCCAAGCCATGAAATATGAGACACTAATAATCTGTTATACATTTACCATGGTAACATCATATTTATTTAAATTTTTGTGACCAGGTGAGCTACAAGGTGTATATCCCCAAGAAAGCTCCTGCTTTGGCTAGAAGGCATCTCCGGCGGTGATGTTTTGATTTATGTTTCTGGTGCTAAGAGGATATATGTGGGAAAGGTTCTATCCCCAGACAAAGTTTTTTGGTTTTTGTTTTTGGACTGTAAACATTGAAATCAAGATGCTTATGCTCATAAAACTCAAGCGGTGGAGACTTTAATAGAAGTGTTTAGTTATTTTTGGCCTATTCTACAGCACCTGAAAACTGAGTGGACAGATCATTTTGTTCATTTTGACAACTTTGTGGTTATAAAGTTTAATCTTGTAAATATTTCCTTTGACTTTCTGCTAAACTTGTTTTGGTTCTCTCATTTAATAAACATTGATGTCAATGTGACTTTCATTGGAGTGACTTTTTAACGAACAAATTTAAAATGTTTGTTTGTTGTCAGTCTTGACTCAATCTACGAGTTACTTGCATGCTTCGGGAAATTTGGTATGCTTTCAAAGAGTTCTGCCATTTGTGTCTGCTTTGGTGGTTTTTCTTTGCCTTGTCACATTTTTCATGACAAAAGATATATATGTAATTGATAGCTACAACTTTCATTCCAACTGTGAGCACCAAAAACTTGTGATATACCAGCCTGTTTCCAGTTTTCTAGCACATGGTGCGATCAGCTATCATATACCATATCTGTTGGTGCTGTGTGGGCTTTTTTCGTCTCTTGGTTGGTCTGCTCTGGGTCTTATTGAAGTAAAATGATTTACAGGAGGTTTGGAATATCATCAAGGTTTGGAGACGATACAATTTTGCAGTAGCCAAGTTCTTTATAGGAGTTTTTAGGAATATCATGGAGGTTTGGAGACGATACAATTTTGCAATAGCAAAGTTCATCATCCCGTTATAAAAGAGCAATGGCCAAGTTCTCCACATATATAATAATTCATATTCCTAAAGTTTCACTGTTCTGGTTTTGTTCTTAAATAGAATCAGAGCTAAAAAGGAATAAAACAAAAGAAAAAAGAAAAAGAAAGGAAGTGTTTCACAACCAACCTGTTGTTTATCTTTCTTTACTTGACCATGATTTCATGTAAATGCTCAAGCATCTTGTCTAGTTCACAAGTTTTCGTTGTCCTTGATCATATCATCACAGTTAAAAACTATTTAGTAGCATGTATGTGTCTGTGTCCTGATTTGATCACCCATTGAAATAAAAGAATGATTGGCCATGAAACTTATCATTGGACAGAGAGAGAGAGAGAGAGAGAGTCCATTGCTCCTAAAATTCTGGCACTGAGATAGTCCTGTCAAACTCTAGAGCTTTCTCATCTTGTTTAGAAGTTTTGCTGAGAGATACATGATACATAAGAAGCTAAATTTTACAGTTCTACTCAGAGAAAGCTAATCCACCATTTCTGGAGGGAAAAAAAATGTTCACATTTGGACTCGAAATGGCCAAAACAGCAACTCACAACTGCATGCAAAATGCTCGACACCACTGACTTGACTTTGAACAATCCAGTCAGTGCTAGCTTCAAACTTCCCAATTGGAGAGGTCACACACTCATTGTTTCAATGAAGCCATGTCTCTTTCAGCTAGCAATTGCATTCCTCTTCTTAGTGCCACTAATGCAAGCCCAGTCATCCATCTTTGACACTGAAATACCTTCCAAGAACTGTGAATATCGTTCTACAATATATGGTATCTGCATCAGGAGATGAATACAATTAACTCTGGTAAAAAAAACCTAGTCTCTATTCAATCAAGTTCATCAAATTAGGGAATATAATTAGCAGACGTGTTTATATGCTTAGTGTTATGACTTTAGGGTTCTCACAACCATACCTGTTCAGATATGATACCAGAGACACCAACAACAGCTCCAGGCTTGGCAAATGAAACAATATGATCTGCCAAATCTAGTAGAGGATTCAAAAGTATGTTTGCGATGACCACATCATACTTCTCTGTTTCAGAGATGACTCTGGTGCCAGACAAATTCTGCCCTTCCACACCTCCAAAAATCACTTCATCTGTAATGGGACGGTTATCCTTGGTGGGGACAAGTAGCAATTGCAATTCCTCAGCTCCTATGTTGTTTAATGAAGCATTCTTTTGGGCAGATCTAATTGCTAGGGGATCTACATCCAACCCAACAGATAAGGCAGCGCCAAACTGTATTTCCCAGTTGAAATGAAAAATTCATTCAGGAATCAGTTGACCCCAAAAATACTCAAATGTTTGAAAAGAATTTTAGAGAACAATCTTTGAATGTTGGAACTTGGAAGAGGCATATTTCAACAAAACACATGATTTTTTATTTTTTATTTTTAGATTTGAACAAAACACATGATTGGAAGAGGAATGATCCATGAAAAGAGAAACAAAATGACTATAAGGTAAGATGTTTGCAGCACATAATAGAAATCAACAAATTTTAAATACATTGCTAAGAAATAATCCGAATAGGATGAATTTATATATGCTTTCTAAGAATTAAACATACAATTTATAACTTGCCCAAAGTGCACATTGTACATGTTATTCTACTAAAGGAATTGTTATTGGTGATTTTCAGTGATTGTTTAAGCTTTTAAGCTTTTCTAGCATGTCCTAGGTTCAAGTCTCATAATTTGTGTTTCTTCTCCCATGTTCTAGTACCAGATTAGCTTTCAGGAGCAAAGTTTTGTTTTTCAATCATTGTCTATATTTCTAATTCAAGCAGTAATGGGAATAAAAGCTTGCCTTTTAGTTGAGTCCAGATGTTGAACTATTTGTAAAGAATTTTTTTCCCTTCATATTAACATGGAATTTTTGCAGGCCATAGTCTTGTGTGCATTTGGCCCCCTTCCTCAATTCCTTCCTCCTTGCTTCTAGCGTATGAAACTGATTTACATTTTTGCACAACAAAATAGCTCAAAGATCCTGTTTCCTATCAACAGATTTTCATTACACTTTGAATGGACAGAAAAATAAGGGAAGACTGTGAGTGACCCCTGAACAAAATAGAAACACCAAATGAGTTTCTTGGATGTTTAGGGTGTATCTCAGAGCAATCACTGCAACTTTTTCATGAGCATCTAGGATTACTATATTTGAAAACTCTTAAAAAGTTACTAACGTTTGGAGGAGGATTGGTTGCCACTATAAGCAAAAAAAGATTAATTAAATTAAAGTTAGTTATAGAGACTAATACCCATACAGTATCTCAGCAAGCTGATATTTTGCTACAACATTATCCATTATGTTAAGCATTGCACGCATCAGTTGTGTTCAAGCACATGATGAACTGAAAGAGTTTTTAGAGCAGATATCATTTAGCTATGATTTCGCCAGCAGCATCAGCTCTTTCAGCTGTTGTTTGTTTGCTGAGAATTTGGAAATTTTTTTGGGTAATTTGAGAATTTGGACATCATTTAATTCATCAACCTAATACTTGCATATTATTTGAAAGACTTCTCTATTTAAGTGCCAACCCATATGCTAGTGATGCGCCACTTTTGAGGTTTCTGCCACGTTTGAGGTTTCTTCAAATGTAAATGACTAACACATATCCAAGATCTTCAGTTGAAGCTAGACTCGTTAATGAAAAAATTGATGTATGATGCTCCCAACTGCTAAAACTATAAGCTTGAATGATAAAATCAACAATTGAGTACCTTAGGAATTCTATCTTCAAAAGTTTAAGACGAGTCTTTTGCACACTTTTTATATTTGGTGTAAAGGATTTTTCTATGAATTCTCTTTTCTAGTGGATTTTGTAGATGAGCTCAATTTTTCTTGAGCTTCTAGCTATATTTTGGTGCATGACGTTTTTGATCTAGTAATGGAAGATATTTTACTTAAAAAAAATATATGATAAATTACACTGACACTTCCTGAGGTTTATGTTTATTATAATTCCCCTCTCATCTTTTAGAAATTACATCTCCTCCCTGAGATTTAAAGTTTTATTACAGATTTCCCCCTTAGCAATTTAATTTTTTTAAATAGCAATTTTGCCCTCATTGGGTAAATTACATTGACACTCCTCACATTTTAAAAATTACAATCCCCTCCCTAAGGTTTAAAGTAGCATTACCAATTGCCCTCTCAGTTAGTATTAGTTAGAAAAAAAATTCATTGAAAAAAAAAATTATTTGAAAAAAATTATTTGAAAAAAAAATTTTGTTAGTAAAATTTTTGTTTAAAAACCAATGTGAACTCATTTTTTGAATTTATGTTTTTTCCTCAAATTTACAAACTGAGACAACCATGTATAAACCAAAAAAATTATCAAATAAATTTTTATGACAACTTTTAAAATTTTTGTAAATATAAATTGAAAACTGAAAACGAAATGGTTACCAAATAGGACTCAGATGGTAAAAATGTCGTAAAATTAACAAATAATTAAATAAGTTACCAACATAAGAAATGACTTATCAAAAGATTCTTAGGCAGTGTATGGTTTGATTTTTAGATTTTTTTTAAAAAGATTAAAAATTAATTTGGTTAAGAAATAAAAAATAAAAAATAATTATCATTTAAGGGTAAAAAATAATTATCATTTTAACTTGCAGGCAGGTTATATACATACATATAACTGTTTCAATTTAATTTGTAAAAAATTATTTCTAACCACTCGAAAGATAAAAATTCTATAAAAATAATATTTATTTTTTATTTTTTATTTCTTAACCAGATTAATTTTTAATTTTTTTTTTTTTTTCCTAAAAATCAAACCATACATAACCTAAGAATCTTTTGATAAGTCATTTCTTACGTTGGTAACTTATTTAATTATTTGTTAATTTTACGACATTTTTACCATCTGAAACCTGTTTGGTAACTATTTCATTTTCAGTTTTCAATTTATATTTACAAAAATTTTAAAAACTGTCATAAAAACTTGTTTGATAATTTTTTTGGTTTATGAATGGTTGTCTCAGTTTGTAAATTTGAGGAAAGAAAATAAATTCAAAAAATGAGTTTATGTTGGTTTTTAAACAGAAATTTAAAAATTTTACTAACAAATTTTTTTTTCAATTCATTATTATTTTTAAATAATTTTTTTCCAACTAATACTAACCAAGGGAGCAATTGGTAATGCTACTTTAAACCTTAGGGAGGGGATTGTAATTTCTAAAATGTGAGGGGTATCAATGCAATTTACCCAGTTAGGGCAAAATTAGTATTTAAAAAAATTAAATTGTTGAGGGGAGAATCTGTACTGAAACTTTAAATATTAGGGGGGAAAGGTAATTTTCAAAAGGTGAAGGGAGAACTGTAATAAATATAAACCTCAGGGGTTGTCAGTGTAATTTACCCAAAAAAATATAATTGAGTACCTTGATAGCTGCTATTGCAAGAACTCCAGAACCTGTGCCATAGTCCAAAAAGAGTTCTCCTCCTTTTATTAAGCTATGAAGCAACAATAGACACAACTTCGTAGTAGGGTGTTCTCCAGTTCCAAATGTCAATCCAGGATTCAGAATTATATTTGTAGCTTGAAGGTCCTAGCAGTTCCAAAAAAAAAAAAAATTTGTTTAAAATAAAAGAAGAGCTGGCATGAGATATACATGGATTCCATGGAGATTAGTTCCTGAGTCACTGGAGACAGGAAAACTCAAGTAGCATTCAGCAGGTACTCATTATGTTAGTTGAATAAAAGCATAATGAGCCACATAAAAAAGGCTCAATAGACTTAACAGAAGCCAAAAAAGAACAGTTTCTGTATATACTGAGCAACATTTGCATTGAAGGCTTCATAAAGGAAACTACAGATATAATCATACTGGGGGAATTCTCCACTCGGGCACAACCCAAAGTCCCTCAGAAATTTCTACTGGATGAAATGATTCCTGCAACAGAAGAAGAACAAAGACCCATGATTATTGACAATATATGATAGAGAATAAAGTTGGCAGGCATAGCTCAAACTATTCAGCTGGTTTGCCCCAACTTTTAGGGCTATTTTGGGAAGATGGTTATAATCAGCTTTTGGTGAAAAGCTGCTTATAAGCAGCTTTTTTGTGAGAGAGGAAGTGGGTTATAATCTGGGAAGCGGATCATAACCCACTTCCCAAAATAATGAATTATTCAAGTGCTGACTGCCAACTAATAAAAAACAAACAGATTCATCAAATTGTTGGCAGGTGTGCAAAGTTGATACATCCTAGGGCTTTTGAAAGAAACATGAGTTTTTGGGCAATTTAGTCATATTATACCATATCAGATAAGATGAACCATTCACATCAGCATGTGGCATTCCCCTTTCGGCACTTGTGTTTGTAAAACAAACTTCACTTACCAAAGGAAAAAGTGAACAACATTACACTGACTTCAATTATGAATATTTGGTCGTCATTAATTGGCTCATGCTTTGTACACATTCTGCAAAAGCTACTTATGCTAATACAAAACTAATATAAAGAATTTGAAAAAAGGGAAAAAAAAATAACATACAACACCACTTAATTATGTAGTTTGGATGAACAAAATAGAAGACAAAAACTGGCATGCTCAATATGTAGTTTACATGAAGATAGCAGAAGACAAAAACAAAATTTTCCTAAACAATTTATATTGCATAACAAAGTACAAGAGCAGCAATTTAACCTGCGTTTTCATTATCCAGTCAGATTGGTCGCCCTTTATGACTTTGTAACTAGGTGTCTCTTTCAAACCTATGGAATTGGCAGCATGTGAAACGCACTCATCCACATCTTGGCAATCTGAAAAAGTGGAACTAATGCAGATCTGCATAGAAATTTATTTTTCATCAAATCTTGAAAATGTTATGTTTGTCCTTTTTCTTTTCTTTTTTTGTTTGTTAACTTATTTTTGTCTCTGTCTATTAGATGGCATTCCAAAATCGATGGTTAGGACAGTTAAAAAAATGTACCTCATCATCATTCTCATAATTGTCTTGTTCATCCATACTGGTAGAACTCGCACCAAAACATAAAAGAGCTTCTGAGAGCATATCCTAACCAAACATGATGACAACATGCATTGAGACAAGCCGATCGAAAAAAAAAACTTGCATTGAGACAATTCTTCCCACTAACTCAAAAAAGTTATATCCCAATTACTCATTATTACTCTACATATCTTCCACAAGTCCAGGAACATAGAAACCGGCACAAAATGTACATCGACGGGCAATATTTAAAAAAATGGCTCCATCAATTAATTATGTAAAATCTTGTCCATTCATGTATATTTTGTGTTTATCTCTGTGTTTGGCTTCATGTTCATATAGCAGAACCGAGTTTTTTTTTTTTTTTTTACCCCCCAAAACCAGCCCCCCCCCCCCCCCCCCAAAAAAAAAAAAGGGATTTTTTTTCATGATACATACAAACCCAAGCTTTATATTATTTTTTTTTTTTTTTCAACATTTCTACATTTAGGTCACCCTCGCTAAGGCCTTTTCCTCAAACAATCACACACGCCATATGATGTCCAGAATGTCTGACCAAAAGAGTTGACACTAGTTTTCATATCATGCATTTGCACTCCAAGATATGGACAACCATTGCTAAAGAGGGAAATCCAACACAAATCAGGCAGATTTTCATTTCTTCTCCATTCTTTCGTTCCGGCTTTCAATAGATGATTGTATATCACGTTTCCATAAATCTTTCAATGTATTTATCACCATGAAAAGATTGGTACGATTTATCACATCTATATCTAAATGTGTGTGTACATATATATACTTCTCAATAAATTCTTTTCCCAGAAAACTGCTTTTTAGTCAAGAAAAACAAGCCTTTAGATAAATAAATAGACAAGAAAAGTGTAATGATTTGTTCTTTGATCAAATTCGCCTAAATATATTACATACCCATATAACTATATACATACATGTATATATATATACCAAATATAATCAAGCATTACAGCAGCAAAATGAAAGAAGAGAAAGTGGGTATTACAGCAACGTCTTTACGGCATTGAATGTGAACAGAAAGGTAAGGAAACGTGGAGGAACCGGTGTCTGAGAAAGCAGTTGTCGAGAACTTTGTTGCAGTGATCGAATTTAAACCCCATTGGGTTCGAGTTTTGGTTAATGAAGAAGAAAGGGGCGGGAAGAGGGCGCGAAGACATGTACGGGGAGTGAGGCGGTGGTGAATGTGCCGGGCGGAGAAGAAGAAGCAGAAGGTGGTTGTGGTGGTGCAAGAAAGGTGTTTGAAGAAATGACTGCGAAGCGAAGAGACTAACATTTCATTTGTTACTTTTTGTAGTGGGAAAATGCAACTGAACGTTATTAGCGAGGATCCCTCTTGAATTCTCTCCCGGCTCCTTGATGGGTTATTGGGTTCACTTTTAAGCTCAATTTTGATGATTTAAATTATTTATATTTTAAAATTTATCATATATATCATATCTGTAAAAAATTAAATTAATCAAATATCGAAAGAACTAAAAATTGTTTATTAAAATAAATTTAATAAGCAGTTTTATTGTTTAATAAAACTTTTAGTTTTGAGAGGATAATTTATGTCTATATTGAGCCGAGCTAAGTAGGAGACTTCTTTATTAATTGGGCTGCAGGATGGACCAAGGTAAAAGCAGATTTACTTCGGTCTAAAAGACTAAGCGTATGGGCCGAGCTAGCTAGGCATTGTGCTTGGGAGAGCCAAGCTAGCTTGGCATTGTGGGCTTGAGCGTCGAGCTAACTCCAATTTTGTACTTGGTTAGCTTGGTATTAAGGAAACAGCCCTGTTGGAATATGTCAAACTGAGGTACACGCAATGAAAGGAAGAACCGAGCTAGTTGGATTTCGGTCTAGTCTGCGACTTCAGCATGGCCATGTTAGCTCGGTCATATTGACATCCCACCGTGGTAAAACCATCTCACTTGGTTTAAGCAGTGAGGGGGGTGGTGAAGGATAAGCATTATCTTTCAGAAGTGTGATTCCTAGAAGGACTCTACATGCAGGAGTAAGAGTCCTACTAGGATTGTGCCACGCGAAACCTATAAAAGCTCACAACATCACCTATGGAGAGGTAACACAACTTTGATTCCTGAATTCACAGACTTTTTGTGTCTATTGTCTATTGTGTTGACTTAGGCATCGGAGGGGTTTCTGGCACATACCCACCGGTTAGCTCATGTTTGTGTTTTTAGGTGGCAAAACGACGACGTTTCAAGGAGCGCAAGCTTGATCAACAGGATCATACGAGAAGAATTATTTCGTGCTCGTACAATTGGCGCCGTCTATGGGAATTCCACAAAGAACAAAACCTCTTGATCAAGCTTTCCTCTCTAGTTGAGATCAATGGCGCACAATGAAGATTTGCCGCAATCAGCCATTGATGGGCAAACCCCTGAGGGGGGTGGGAGGCGCGAAGGTTTGCCTCTTGTCCCTCCAATGGCGGATTTAGAACCCCAGCGACAGAACCCCTGGAGGGATGCAAGAGGAAGGCGGGGTAACAGCCCCCATCACTCTTAAAGCCTTGAAAGGCAGAGGCGGAGAATTGACCCTCAAGTTTTGGAGGATCGCATAAAGGAAGATGATGAGTTGATACGAAGGATGGCGGCGGACATAGAGTTGATGAAGCGCCAGATAAATGGGAAAGAGGTGGCGACAGAAGAGGGATGCAAAGACAGTACACCCCCTTGCCACTTGGAAGATCATGGTAGGCATACCACACCGTCGCAAGCAAAGAGTAGGAGCCTGAGAACAGGCGACACTCAGTCAAGAACTCCTAGGACTCGTTACTCTAGGTCTGAGAGAACGAGAACTGAGAGGTTATACACTGAGGGAAGCACCTATCGGCCTTCGTGCACACACCAGATGTCATCCAGGTAGACAGAGTTGCCCAAATCGTCTGATTTGCGAACTGTGCTTGAAAAAAGGGCACGATGGAAGGAGGATGTCAGGGCACGCGACCCACGCAGAGTTTCAGCCCTTCAGCGGTTGGCTCCTCGGACGCACGGGAGCGTCGAGGTAGGAATGCCAATACCGCGCCTTGCTTATGAACCAACGAACAAAGCATTAGCAAGGTTACATAGCTCGCCGTTCGTTCCGGCAATTGAGAACACGCCATTACCTTCAGGCTTCCTCCAGCCCAAGTTTACGACTTATGAGGGGAAGACGGACCCCTTCATGCACCTAAACCAGTTTCGCCAGGTTATGGTAGTATACCGGCGGAACGAGGCTTTGATGTGCATCCTATTCCCATCCAGCCTTGACGACCTAGGTTTAACCTGGTTCAAAAAGCTACTAGAAGGTAACATCGCCTCCTGGGCGCAACTGGTGGAAGCGTTCGTGACTAGGTTCAGAACGAACACCAAAACACCAGTGGAGATCGATCAGCTACTCTCCATTGACATGGGCGACAAGGAGACGCTGAGATCTATAACGGTCGTTACTGGGAGACCTTCAACCAGATAGGAGATTACCCCACCAATCTTGCCATCGCGCAGTACAAAAGGGGGCTACCAGTCGGAAACAAGTTGAGGGATTCAATAACTATGGCGCCACCCCTCACGATGAAGGCCTTGATAAATGGAGTGCACCAACATATTCGTGTGGAAGAGGATGACGCTCGTGCTAAGGCGAAATCTGGTACAACAACAATACCAAATAAGAAGACTTACGGTAGAACGACCAAGCAGGAATGGGCGAGGCAGATGGGCCAACAAAGAGGATCCAAACAAAAGGTGGCTAAGAGTTTGCACTGCCATTACCATGGTGTTCAAAAAACCAATCTACCGAATTCTTAGTGAGATACAAGACGAACCTTTCGTCCGATGGCTAGCTAAGTTAGAAGAAGCACAGAAGGACTATGACGAGAGGTCCCGGTGCACCTTCCATGATGAAAAGGGGCACCACACTGAAAATTGCACGCCGTTGAGGCAATATTTGGAGGAGTTAGTGGTAGCTGGCCATTTGGACCAGCACATAAAAGGAGGAACACAGCCAGCCCCCCAAAACCACAACGTCCCAAACGGGATGTCGGTTGACGCTCCACCTCAAGGCGTAATTAACGTGATACATGGGATATTCGAACCTGAGCGGATATGTGAGCTCAGGGGGATAATCAAAAAGACTGAGCACTTAAGGGAGGTATTAAGTTGGGAGACCTTCAACCAGATAGGAGATTGCCCCACCAATCTTGCCATCGCGCAGTACAAAAGGGGGCTACCAGTCGGAAACAAGTTGAGGGATTCAATAACTATGGTGCCACCCCTCACGATGAAGGCCTTGATAGATGGAGTGCACCAACATATTCGTGTGGAAGAGGATGACGCTCGTGCTAAGGCGAAATCTGGTACAACAACAATACCAAATAAGAAGACTTCGGCAAAAGTCAACACGGTAGAACGACCAAGCAAGAATGGGCGAGGCAAACGAGCCAACAAAGAGGATCCAAACAAAAGGTGGCTAAGAGTTCGCACTGCTATTACCACGGTGTTCAAAAAACCAATTTACCAGATTCTCAGTGAGATACACAATGAACCTTTCGTCAGATGGCCAGCTAAGTTGGGAGAAGCACAGAAAGACTATGACGAAAGGTCCCAGTGCACCTTTCATGATGAAAAGGGGCACCGCACTGAAAATTACACGCCGTTGAGACAGCACTTGGAGGAGTTAGTGGCAACTGGGCACCTGGACCAGTACATAGAAGGAGGAACACAACCAGCCCCCCAGAACCACAACGTCCCAAATGGAATGCCGGTCGACGCTCCACCTCAAGGCGTAATTAACGTAATACATGGGGTATTCGAACCTGAGCGGGTATGTGAGCTCAGGGTTATGATCAAAAAGGCTAAGCACTTAAGGGAGGTATTAAGTGCACAACCTGCTATCAAAAATGGGAGAACAGAGGCCACAAATGTCATATCTTTTTCAGACAGAGACTTGGCAAGGATATATTGCCCTCACAACGATGCACTAGTAGTTATTCTTCGGGTCAAGGATTTCGACGTAAAACGGATTTTGATTGACCAAGGGAGCTCAAGTGAGATAATGTATTATAAAACCTTCAAACAACTGAAACTGGAGGATAAAGACTTGGCACCCGCCGTATCCCCCCTGATCGGATTCAACTCAATACCAGAGTGGCCAGTTAGCAAGATAATCCTCCCAGTCAGAGCAGGAAGCATGACGAAACTGGTGAAATTCTGGGTATTGAAAGTCCCTTCTACTTACAACATAATCTTGGGAAGGACTTGGTTACACGCTATGCGATCGGTAGCGTCAACCTACCATCAAGTAATGCGGTTCCCCAACGAAGCTGGAGTAATTGAAGAGGTCTTTGGGGACCAAATTATGTCCAAACAATGCTTCGTCACAGTAAATGGTAGCCGCGCTGCCAAGGGGTATGTACAGATGGTGGAAGAACCTGAGAGCAATGAGTTATTCGTGGATGTTGGCAAAGCCGCTGAACAGAAGGCAGTGGAAGACTTGGTACATGTAAGGATAGATGAAAAGAACCTAGAAAAGTTCTTTTTGCTCGGCTCATCTATGTCCAGCACTGAGAGATTAGAGGTCATGGAATTCTTGACCTCTAACATTGAAGTATTCGCTTGGACGCCGTATGATATGCCAGGCATTGACCCAAACTTCATCTGTCACCAACTGAACGTCCACCCAACTGCCAGACCAGTCATACAGCGCACTCGTAGATCGGTACTCCACCATGCCGAAATAGTGGCGGAGGAAATGGGGAACTTGCTGGAGGCAGAAGCTATAAGAGAAGTGCACTATCCCAAGTGGATATCCAATACAGTGGTTGTGCCAAAGAAAAATAGAAAATGGCGTGTCTGCGTGAACTACAAAACAGTCAACAAGGCATGTCCAAAGGTTAGCTTTCCCTTACCGTGGATAGACCAACTGGTAGACCTAACGGCAGGCCATAATCAACTTAGCTTCCTTGATGCGTATAGAGGTTACCATCAGATCGCTATGTATAAGCCTGACCAGGAGGTCACATCCTTTACAACGCCCAGAGGATTGTACTGTTACAAGGTCATGCCCTTTGGCCTAAAAAACGCAGGGCCAACATTCCAACGGATGGTCACCAAGATATTTGAACCGTTGTTGGGCAGAACAATGGAGGCTTACATCGACAACATGGTGGTCAAGAGCAAGGATGAGAAGGACCATCTCAGGGACCTAGATGAGATGTTCCAGATCCTGAAGAAGAACAAGTTACGCCTTAATGCATCTAAGTGTACGTTCGGTGTAGGATTAGGCAAATTCCTAGGCTTCCTGGTGACCAACCGAGGTATAAAGGTAGACCCCTCTCAAATTAAAGCAATCCAGGATCTTGAGAGGCCCAACATAGTCAA